GGGGGTTACAGAATGAGTGAAGTTGGGGAGGGGGAGGGTGGGGTGGTAGAGAGGCGAGATGTAAAATATTTCCAAGACCAGGTCAACAACTCGGGATATCCCTCTCATAAACCTGCTCTGCATATCGTTGCGCTATGCTGAATGCAATATGGTCGCTTTTAAGCAAAAGGGGCTATCCTGAAAAATGCTGTTTTGAGAAAATCGAATTTAAAGTTTTAGGACCCTTGTTCAGTTTCTTTAAAAGACAAGGAGAGTTTTGTCTATAACCTCTATATTTAATATACTCACCAATGAAACCAAACTTCTCCTATAGGTAGGGCAATACCCACTTTTGGTGTAGTTCAAGATTTCTGGATACCCCCGAAATCTGGGTTAGCCCGCTTGTCCCAAAAAGCGACTATATAAATATAGAAATATAATAAATTGGTGCGTTAATGGTGTACCACGATGCTTATGGCTTAGTAGATGGTCTACCACCGAACCGGTCTGGCAATTTCTTTAGTCGAAAGTCTATTGCGATGTTTCTGGACAATAAAGGCTTAGAACTGCCATTGTCCATATTAAAAATGTTTCGGAGGTAGTACATTGTATTTTGTCGGGGTGGGGGAGGGAGACAAGTGAGAGTCAATGTGTGTGTGTGTGTGTGTGTGTGTGTGTGTGTGTGTGTGTGTGTGCATGCGTGCGTGTGTGTGTGTTTGTGTGTGTTTGTAAAAGATCGTATACTACCATCTTTGTGTTTGTGGATGGGGGAAGGGAGTTGAAGTGGGAGGTTGTATGGGGGCGGGAGGCTGACCCCCACACACACACCACAATTGTAAACACCACGGCCTTTGGTCTAAATGCGGAAGAACCCATTTTCATCACACATTTTAAATTTTATTTTTAGATTTCATCGTTCCCGTTTTTGTCCCTCGTGGACTCGATTACTTATAAGTTACTGTGATTGCCACTCCGATTCCAAAATGAGTTAACGATGCGTCCAGAAAATGCAATACAGTATGCAGTGTTTCTAATCACTTCGACTGGGAGGTGGAAGTAGGACTTCGTGTGAGATGGAAATTTGTTTCAAAAGTTTGCAAAATAGATGTCTCTGATGAAAGTTTCGATGAAAATTCTTTTAAGATAACTCTTGTTAGAAAACTGTTATAAATCCAGGGTAAAACTTTTTTAGGGGGTAAGTGTTTTACGCTACGGTGCTCGCAACTGCATAAGGTCATAATATGAGCACGCGGGGCACATTCAACATTTTGATTTTGCGCGGGTGGCGGTCAAAGCGTACTCTTATTGATTTTGGACAACCAAGATATCTTTAAAATGCGCAATTTGCCCACGGGACCTCCGAGATTTTTCGCCCTTGTCTGAGAAAGCTTGGTGTAGATATTTCCTGCCATAAGATCGGGGATGTGGCTGAAAGACAGCAGTAAGAAGGAGCCAAGGAGTAACGGTAGAAGAAAAGCTTCTGTCGCTATCCGGATTTGAACCCACGACCTATTGAATGAGAGGCGAATACCTTAACCTCTAGACCACGAGAGCCCCCGGTAAAAGTTTGACATTGTTTACAGTCAATCAGCCACTCTCTCGTGATATGATAGGCTGAATTTTCCTGCAAACAGCTGAGATTAAGTACGGTACGTCTCAAGATATCACCACACCCACACATCCGAGAGAGAGAGAGAGAGACAGACAGACAGACAGACAGACAGACAGACAGAGAAACAGAGGGAGAGTGTGTGTGAGAGAGAGAGAGAGAGAGAGTGAGTGAGAGAGAGAGAGAGGAAGGGGGAGGTTCGGTTATAGGTATCGAATTGCACTTGGATACATTATAGATCTAATAATATCATTGCAAAAGCGGGACGAATACAGGTGCACGGCTAAATACTCCTTGCGCTGTCGTTACCGTGAACAATCAGATAGAACTTACGCTACGCTGGCAGTGTACGAGCGTAATATCGTAGTAAAGCGCGATCGATCGAGGGAAACTCACTTGGAAGATCGCCGTACCGCGGTAGACATTCAACTGAACCGACACCAACATGCTAGTTCCAAGCCCAAGTTTTCCGTGTCGTATCGAAGAAAATGACTGAAGCTCCTGCACCCTCCCTAATATTTATTTAAAAAACCAGCTTCCGAGACAAACAGTGTTATAATATTTGACCCTACAACCTGTGACACCCCC